GTTTTTATTTTTCAAAGGTATGGAGGTATTTTTGCTTACATTTGATGATGTTTACTAATTTGTGTTTTCCCTAAACCCAACTTAAAACAGCAAGTAAAACCAAAGTGAAATCTTGATTCTCTCTTGGTGGAATCTCTTTGGAATATTATTACCCATGCAATGAAATCAAAAAGATATCGAATAATATTATCCCTCTGTGAAATGGACACTTTCAGGGATAATATTATCCAAGCAGTGAAGTCAGCAAGGCCTGGGATGATATTATCCCTTGGTGAAGTTTGGTCATTCTGGCAGGGATAACCCTCGGTGAAGTTGGGTCACTCTGGGAAATTATCCATGCAGTGAAGTCAGTAAGGCTTGGGATAATATTATCCCTTGATGAAGTCGGGTCATTCTTGGATAATATTATCCAAGCAGTGAAGACAGCAAGGCTTGGGATAATATTATCCCTTGGTGAAATTGGGTCATTCTGGGAAATTATCCATGCCGTGAAGTCAGTAAGGCTTGGGATAATATAATCCCTCGATGGAGTTGGGTCATTCTTGGATAATATTATCCAAGCAGTGAAGTTAGTAAGGCTTGGGATAATACTATCCAAGCATTAGCATGTACAGTTGCAGCAGTATTACATTAACATGCAAGCAGCATGTGACAAATGCTACCAAAATGCTCAAAACATCCCTCTTCTTATCTTCAGGATAACAGGTTTATTTTTTAATTGTCTTGTTTAAAACCAGTAAACGATTGGATCCAAATCAGTTATTCTTTTTAATCTTATATCATTATACGTCATTTCCAAACTTTTGAATAAAATTCTGTCGCATATGAATTCCTATACACGTGGCGGTCAGGCCCCTGCCGAGGGCAGTGGGTGAAGAGCCGTCCTCCAATCAAGGAGAGTAGGGGGGAATATACGCATCAGGAAAAGCACTTATGGGAAAGAAAAGTTCAGTTGCCTTAAACGATCTGACTTTATTTCCATTCCAATTAATCCAGAGCAGAGAATTCCAGTCGCCCAAACTCTGCTTCCTTGCTCCCCTGGCTGTCACTCCCATGTTCCTCATACTCACGCCAAAATATATAACTCAAAATATAACATCACTGTACATGCAGGCCCACAATCACGTCTTCAACTGTCAAATTATTTTGTCCATTGCTAGGGGAACCCCCATTACTTGCTTGATTACAATAACCTGTGGAAGGTGCCTTAAGATATGGAACTACAGCACAGATTTAATTTTCATGCAATTCTATAACATTTTAACAAAAGTAAGTAAATTATCATGAGTATTAAGCTTTTGAAATACAAAACAAGGTTAGAAAATTTGCTTAACACAGTTAAGATGCCTGCCACTCTGGGGCTTCCCAAAATGAGCAAGTGTCACAATGAATACAAAGTAATATCTATCAGCAGGTTAGGTTTTCCTGTTATACGTCATATTAAACAATCATTTACGATTTGTATAACCTAAACACAAAAAAGGGATGTGCAATTTGGTTTCCTCCAAATCTTTCAAATTACAAGTTTTTTATCTTTGCTTAGATAAGCAAAACTTTAAAATTATAGCATGAGACCAGTTTGGATCTTGAACAAGAAGATCCTGTCTGAAAATGTGCCTTTCAGACTAGAGTAAAATGATCAAGGTCAGTAAAACACTGACTTTATAAACAACCTCATTACAAACTGCATAGACAAGCAATTGCCTTAAAATGGGGTTATACAAAAATACTCTCTAATTATAGAGGGCAGCAAAGTATGCTGGTCCGAACCAACTGCAAACATGAAAAGAGATGATAGCATCCATCTAAACCCATCACGGGCAGTGAATAAAGTAAAAACATAAACACACAAACAATCTCCCACTACACGAAGAGAGCTATTTTTAGCATTTTAGCCAAGTGAACAGATTCTACAAAAATTCCAAACTCTGATTTGTCACCTCTATCTCAGGAAAAACTGGGATTGATGCCTTAGAATTAATTGCCACATCATCTTAATTGGAAACCTCAATTGAATATGCAGTTGGAAGTGATGAAGTTCAACAGCCAGATTTTTTCTTAAAATTTATGTTTTCAAGAAATTTTAATTTTCTTGAAATGTACAATAGACACAAATGACAGTACTTTCCATAACAGTAGGTCTACTTGTTGACTGATATGAAGTAACCTACATTGTACCTTGCACAAATGGAGCACAATAAAATATGTTTAACAATTGGCACACAACTTTCTTTTCTGAACTATAAGCGAAACATTTGCACAGACAAGATAATCATGTGTTTGATCATAAAAACTTCAAAATCAATAGTGCACATTACATGTACATGTATAGTCTGGATTTTATAAAAACTAAAAAAAATCAGTGCACAGTATAATTTCCAAAAAGTAAAAGTGATCATGGTAAAGTTCCAAAAGAGCAGCGATGGTAGCTCTAGAATCACAGTTAATGATAAATTTGTTCATACTTAGCTTTTAGGGTTGTCCCAACCTCTCAAGGGAGCTTTGTGGCCCGAGTAAGATCAAATAGATCACATATAATACAACTTGTCTCGATACCCTCTTTCCATGCTTGCACCCCCCTTTTCCTGGGAATCTTTTTGTTAAGGGGCTTCCATTTGCTGGAGTATGTTCCTGTGTACCATACCAACTGTATAATGTCATCCTTATCATTAACTGAGATAATCTCTCCTATCTGTGGCCAGTCATGAGTGTATGCTGTCAAATGAGTTCCAATCATCTTACCTACTTTAAGTTCAGCTTGGTGATTCTTGTTTGCCCGTTTTTCCCAAAGCGAACCTGTAGATACAAGAAGAAAATAAGCAACTACATTGGGGTACTAAATTAAGCATGCATATATACCATACATGGTTATCCCTGAAAACTTTTGTTAACCCTAACAGCCCCGAATCCCCCAATTTTAATTGCACACACACTAGGGAGTTAGAGTTAATGATCTCACAGAGAGGGTGAATCTATAAGGCTGTACCATAGAATATCATGGGGTTTGTCATCTTGGTAAGCAAACAGAAACATACATTAAATGTGTGGGTGAGTCTGTGTGAATTTCCAATGTAATCCAACCTTTCGACTATCCAGAAATGAGTTTGTTTTTATTATGGCTCCTTCACAAGTACATCTAACTACCAAAAGTATGCAATGAAGCACGAATGAAAAAGTTCACATCTCATCTTACCTGCGTCAACATAAGAAAATGGATACTGTTTCCGTTTTTTCTTTTGAACTTATGACAAGAAATTTATCAGGAGAATGGCTGAAGTCTCAGATCATAAAGCAAAACAACTGGTCATTGCACTGAAGGTGCATTATCATCCCGCCATAACCATGCATTTTATGAGATAATTTACTTCAGCTTACAATTATTGACATCCATTATTTGCTCAGTAGGTCAAGGAGCCAAATACCCAACATTTGGTCAAGGAGCCAAATACCCAACATTTTTAAATCCAATGGCTTTCCTAGCATTGAATAAAACATAAAACTCAGGTCAATAACAACATTGCTTTCAAATACTGCCACTTCTGATCAATGCATTTGAGAAGCTACAACACAAATCCAGTTTAGATTAGTCTTAACCAAATCAGCATTTATAGATGCTTGGCTCCTTTGTTTCAATAGAGTCTAACATGATTTCACTGCTCTGAGTGAAGGTGTGTTAAATTCATTGTAAAGTGAAAAAGTAAAAGGTGTGGACATTCATTTAATCTATGAGTTGGTGGTTCAAAGTAAAGGCATGTGTATAATAATCTCTGTGGCTCAAAGTTCAACCAGCTGCTTGAATGTTATATTTACACTTACTGGAAAGAAGTGTTCGTTTGTTATAAGTGTCATTAAATTTAGTAATTTGAGCACTGTCATGCTATTGCTGTATTCTTGTCACACTAGTTGGGCGTTTGTTGGGTCGGCAGTACATGAGCACAGCCTTTTAAGACAGATATAAAGATGTTGGGATGACCTACCTGGGCATGCTTCAGACTGTCATCAGACTGGACATCTTCAGTCTGTTGATCCAGTATGTGTACTGTCCTCGTCTGCTCTGCAGTAATCTTGTTTGCCAAAATGTCCGAGATTGGGAAGAAGCCAGCACCTTCAGCTGGAATCAAGCACAATGAAGTGTAATCAAAATTGGGGGTTTGCATCGGACAAAAGAATATTTCCTGTAACCACCTTTTCGATGTATTGGAATGTGAACTTATGAAATTTAGTTCAAATATGTTTCATCCCTCTCCATACATCTCAGAGCATCATATTTCTCAAATTATTTTTTTCATTATATGATAGAATGGTTGTATTTTTTGCGGTCATCAAAGTGATCAGTATCTAATGTAGGCATCCACCATTTATAACTACCTGAGGTACTACAGTCAAACTGGCTGAGGAGTTCATGCCACTCCTTCCGTTCATGTTCCTCAAGGAAAGGCCCTACCTTTGCGATGTCCCGTTGCAGCCTGTCTAGATTGAGGGGGCCAAAATCCAGTTGGACCACATCTGGCTGTCCATCTGGATGTCCATTGAGGAGTTGGTAGCATGGCACATTCTCCTGGGTACAAGTGCATGGAAGCCACTCATCACCAGTGCTGCCCCATCCTTTGGTGTGCATTACTGCCTTACCTACAGTGATTTAATACAATTACATTTTCCTTTTGCATGAAAATAGTGGAAATAAATTCAGTTTTGGTCTTTATAGACAAAAACACTGTTTTAAAAGTTATTTTGTGGAAAATAATTCAACTGTATAAACAGTTTCAAATGATTCATAATGTAAAGGTTTGTAAAACTTTGTACGGCCTACAGAAATCTAATTTTTATCTTGCAAAGCAACCAAGACAAAATGAAACACAAAATTGCTCACAGGTATTTGAAAATAATTAATGACACCAACCTGTCCTGTCCCGTGTGAATTTGAACGCATGTGGTCGGCTGTGATCCGCTACTTCATTCAGGTGTGGTTTGATCCTGTCCCTAAAATTCACGGATTTGCCCAGTCTTTCCGCTGTTGTGTCGGGCTTGTTAAATGCCTCTGGCAGAGCAGTTGGTAGTCTTGACAGCGTGTGCACCTTGTGCCTCCATAGGAACATTGAGAACCTAGAGAACATCTGGTCTATGTCCTCGTGGGTGTGGCCGACCATCAGGAAACTAACTTTTATCTGTGAAGTAATCAAAAGATAACTTGTGTGGTGCATTCAGTGTATGAAGCCAATTGGTCCAAACTTCATAGTACATTAGGGATATATGCATGAATTGTTCATTAATAAATACATTAATAAAATGACTCTATTTCAGAACTTTGTGTCACATATAGTGTTCAGGTCTTTCCAGTGCAGTGTTCCAATTATACCAGAAAAGAAAATTACAGTCCCACAGTAATACAGACAGGCGATGCATGAAAATACATGTATGTAGTACATGTACACTGCTTGAATTAGACTAGACCAGAGACTTTGTTGCTTCTTCAGGAGCTAGTCAGTGGAGAAATTTCTTGTGCCTAGCACCATTTGACAACTTCAATAGCACAGGCAAAATTCATTTTTCAATTTATTTTCTGCAATTTTATTCTTTCATTCTTTATGAATATCTGCATTCTGAAAATAAAGAGATCGATGTTCAAAAATGATATGCCCAAGATACATCAACTGAGAACTGTTAATCTGGTTTTCAAACATTATAGCTTAAAGGACATGCAGTGTAGTCTACAATTAGGATAAATATCCTTTTACAAATTGGCCTTTGCTAGCAGCATGTCCCAACAAACGTTTGGTGGAAATTGTGTTTTGAATGATACAACTGTGATCAATTCCTGCCACACATGTTGCTTTCGCGTATGTGGAAGAATCGACATCTGTCTGTATTTTTATGTGTATCTTATGTGACTCGCACAATTATACCAGTATTTTACATGCAAAGGATTCAAATGAGAGGAAAAGATATATCCTCATGACTGCTTTCAATTCAGAAACATAGCTTTTCCTGTTTTCCATGGAAAGGCAAAATATTTTGTACTTTTCACTCTTAACATCTACACAGTATAACTTTTTAGATATTAATGAACAATTTTAAAGAATACAACTTCTGTATGTGGACTCGAGCCCCAATGCTCTTTAAGAAGTTTATGTACAACATATCGTGTGCACAGTGACCACTTACCTTTTTGAATATCTGCAGCTCAACTAGGAGGCAGCAAAGAGCAAGAACAATTTTTTTTTTCGCGTCCACAGTTGTCCAGTTGTAGGTATAAAGTTGGTGGCAAAGAAGGATATTTCAGAAGGGTCTGGAGCAAAACGTTGATAGTCAGTTTACTGTCGTGGGGGAGTTCTTTGATGTTGATGTACTCATGATGCCCCCTGCCGTGTACTATAACCCCGGTGATATGTGTGGGCAGTTTCCACATAGATGACATAGACTTTGGTTCAATCAAGAACTTTGGCAAGCTTGTTGACTTCTGGTCCACGCCATCTATGATGATTGATATGTATTGCCTGTGTGATGCCTTGGACTTCTGAATATGTTTATAGTATTTGCATCTCTCATTGCTGAAAAGAAAAGGTTTATATTTATTTCAATACTACAATCATAGTGTATTTGTTCAGTGTCTTTAAACCAATAACCAAGTTCGTAAAGATCATTAATACCTCATGTATCATGACTGAAGTTGTAATGATTTGTTGTTGGCCATGGTAGGATTACTGAGGTGGAAGAGGTCTTAGTTCTTTCATAGGATAAACTTGGTTTCGAGAATGTAAGTGTTTTTCTACGGTTCAAAAAATACATCAAAAGACAAAGAATCGGTATGCCGGTTTTAAACAGCGGATCTTTTAGGAATGAATATTTTTTTCACTGATTTATTTTTATGGTATTTGTGCAAACACGCTCCCTTTTAATGGCAAGCTTTATTGAGGAAATATCGCCCAAGTATTTTAACACAAGAGGTGTCAGTCAGATAATCCCATACCCTACTTTCAGTGAGATTACAGGAAAGGGGTCAACTGCACACCAGACAAAACTGCAAACTTTTATTTTCATTTACTCAGACTCTTTTACTTGTATTTATCATTAAGACATACATGTCCGTGGTATGACCTGTCATATATGTATTATTGAGGCTATGCATCCTAATCGTGACATCAAAAGTTTCAATGTATACTTTATAGTGTCAAAATCCTACCTTTTCAGGGGGGGGTGAATAAGACAACTACATGTTCATCAAATGTGGTGCTTGTTGTTGAATTCTGGTGCCGGTGTTTAAAGATACTCCATGGCGTTTAAAGCAGACCATTAATCATATACAATTCAAATGTCTTATGATACATGCACTATTAATAAACCCTGTCAGCTCCTGATCTCCACCAAGTTCATAAAGAGAAAAATCTTTCTTACTTTTGAAGCCGTAAATGACGATCCCTCTTTTCATACAGCTCTTTCCTCTTTGATTTATCCAATTGATGTTCTTAGTAGTGTACATCTATCACATTTAGCAAATCTGTTCTCCTGAAATTAATGAACATCGTAAACTTGTTATCATAATCGAACCTACAGAAACATGTATGGACATATTAGAACGAAATATATAAAGTGCACTATAGTGCATGACAAAACGGCACAGAAATTTTTATATTACACTGAGTGGATGACTGTGTTTTTGAGTCTCCGACTTACCCTCCCTCAAAGTAAACAAAGAGAATCCTGGACCATGGATGCAGTCAATATTTTAAAGAGCTTCTCAACACACATTTTCATCTGAACAATCCCCTCATCTATGGTTTCTCTTTGGTTTCAAGTCAACTTGAAGGGCCCTTGGGGTTGAGGCAATTCAATTAAAGCTTGATACTTTATGTTACGTGTGTCAGGTTTTAGCGTCAACTTGGTAACTTTCATATTGCAGAACTCTTGGAACCAAGTGTTTTTCTCACAAACCAATGTTGAACTTGTACAGAAACACATATTACATGTACATGAATCTACTACTGTAGTATTTTGGAATCCATTGAAGTACCTGTACAGATAAAATGCAGTGTTAACACCACTCGCACTAGCACTGTAGTACCAGTCAAGAAACTTTAAAGAGTGAATGATAGGTAAAATTGTTTTTGAGTTTTTGTATTGTACCCTGATACATATGTCTTTATAGTGAAACACAGCATGCATGTGATATGGAAATTAGAAAATTTATTCTACCCTCAGTGGTTCAACGATGCTCTGCACACTGATGGTCTGATGTGGTAGGTCCGTGTTATCTAGCATCATATGCTTCTTTGGTTCCAAAAAGCACCTGTGAATAATAAAAGACAGACTTGTTTAAATACACCAACTCATCTAAACTAAATGTACAAATTACACGTAAAGCCTGTGGCTGATTAGGGTCTTGCCACTTTCCATTTGGCAAAATACCAGTACTTCAAATGGGGCTAAGTACAAATTTTGGTCATTGTCAATGTTTATGTAAACATATTCTGCACGAGGCTTCAAACTAGAAAGCTGTCCCCAGCCCTCAAAACAAAAGAAAATGAAAAAGAAATACTACATCATCACCCACCCAACAACCCACTGATATACCAAGAAACGCCCTCTCAGTTGAGTACATGTATTACCGTATGGTGTGACATCCTAAACATACCAGTAGAAGCAGAATCCAATTGCTAATGTTGTTTTAAGTAGTTAGACTTTTCTTTTCCTCCAAGAAAACATCCCTGTGCTCCTAAAACTTCTATCAACTTGAAGTGGAAAAACTGAGCATCGTTTTTAACTTTTGTTGTGGTGATAACTGTCGATACCATATCATTTAAAAATGTGAGACAAAAAAAAAAAAACACTTTCAGGTTTACTTGACAGTGCATGTTGTCTTGTGTACATGCATTTTTGAACTTCATTTTTTCCCTGCCTGTGCATTCCAAGCCACATGTGTGGTGGATTTGTAGTTGTCAATATAATCTGCCTAAATAATTCAAACACAACAAATGACTTGTAGACACGTGCATCATGTACATTTGTCAGTATGCAGTTGATGCAAACAGCACACCATTTCTCACGAAATATGTGCCGCGCTGTCATGGCCATGCCCCGCCACGGTGCCCCTGCCCAGTTGCCACTACATATAGTACAATGAAGTATTACCATTAAGAAAGGTAAAGATGGTACTAGTGTTCAGAACTGGCCCATTGTAGAGCTTATTTTTTAGCATTTGTAACCTCGCTTTGCTACATTTGAGAAGCTTCACTTCTTTCTTGTAACTTACCGTGGCCCTTTCCGATTGGGTGATTACAAACCAGATATCATCTTGATTTTCCCACTTT